TCCGTTGTCTGATTTGAAAGGGCCTGCCTCATTTCCACATGAGTTGTTACCATCCATTCCGCCTCTAGTGCCACCCGAGCCAATTCCAATCCTTGAGTTGCAGGAATTGCAGTCTTCTTCGTTGTTGCTAATAATCCCAATTCTAGTAAGAGCCGAGTGGTTTCTTGTAGTCGGAGACTTCACATTGAAACCTTCCTTGTTGCATTCCAGCTGAAGAGAGGATTCATCTATAAGCGATTTCCACTTATCTCGGCCAAGGCTTGTCGGTTTGTGATTGTTGTCTGCAATTAATGAATGCAATGAGCTTGCTTGCCTGTCGATAGTTAGCCATTCTGTTACATCGCCGACCCTCATTCCCAGGCAAATTTGAGTGAAGTTATTACTCCAGTAGCTCGGCATCTTTGTTTCCTCGTGGTCAAATCCAGTTGCGCCCGAAATTTCACTAAACAGGTTTTTGTTGCTCCAGTAGTTCGAATGGTACGAGAAAGTATCCTTTGGAAGAAACACAAGATAATGTATGCACCTCATTACACGATGACTAAGGCCAATTTTTGACCTTAATTTATTTTGTTGTTGTTGTTGTTTATTTAAAAAAAAACATGAGGAACTTTGATGAAATGGGAACACTTTTAAAATGTTGGACTTAGCACTAGGATGGGAAATTTACCGGTGGGCGACTTAAAATGGACAAACGATTATCTTTGTAACAGAAAGCTGTCGAAATATTTCGACATGATCATAACAACATCGTCAATCATGTGTTATAAGGTATAAAATGGGAAGGAAATAAAGAGAAACTATTTCTTCTACCAACCTCGTTACCATCAATCTTCATCACTAGCGTCCATCCTCCTCTCCCACAGCCAGGAATAACATCCATATGACAATAGGTGTGAGCTACCCCTCCCTGCTCCGTTTTGAGATAGTAAGCACCACTTCCAGACTCACTGAAATGAGACATATCTATGTTTTTCATTGTAATTCAAGGATGACATGAAGGTTAACTCATCTTGGATACAAATCATAAATATGATCGCATGTACAGTTTTCTGCTTCTCACATGGCTTTGATTGTCGTGTTGCACAATTACTTTCAGTTTTTCCAGACCCTTCTTTCGTTTTTCAAACATTCTATTAAATAATTTGAATAAACTTACGGTCTGTTTAATAGGACATCTTCACATGAAATGGCTGGATTCTCTGGATCATAACCTTTAGAAGCTGCCGCAGCTTAGGAAGTAACATTTTAGAGAAATATAAATGTTGTTGTTCATAAGATGACCAGCCAAACCTTCCTTTATTTAATTTCTTCGTTATATTTGAAATAATTTCCATTCTATCCCAAGCACTTCTTTAGAACGCGGCTATGAAATATCCTTAAATCCTTAAATTTTCAAAGACAACATGAACCGTAGCCTTTATAAAAAGTCAGTCCAAAGGAAATAACTCGAACTTATCGTTGTGATGACCGACGTAATTGAACAAAAAGAAAATGAGCTTTTACTGCTATACCTTCTTATACCTGTGCACAAGTCAATTCATTGGGTTTCAGCTGAAACATTCCTCACAAAATCACACTGAAAAAAATCCACGTTGAAGCAAAACGAAAATACCCAACAATTGTAATCAACTTTTCTTCTCCAGTCTTATTCATATTTGATAATACCTATGTCGCATGTCGTTCCTGTAAATCCCTGTGGACAAATACATCGGAAGCTGTTGTCAGCAGAAAAATTTGGTCTGCAGGTTGAACCTTCTGCACAAGGAGATCGACTGCACGGATTCTGTTATTTTTAAAAACAAAGCTTTGTTCAAAATTTCTGACGGCATTCAGCATAATTATTATTCAATAGACTGTAAAAACAAGGACGGAAGACCATTATCAATGGGGCAACAAAAAATGGATGCCAAATGACATATTTATGAACTAAAGGAGATTGGAAATATTTCATATTTCACCTTCGATGCATAATATTTAAAGCCTTCGTCCTCAATAAGACTTTGTGGATTTTGTTTTTCGTCTGTGTCGCTCAATTCACATTTCCACCTACCACTAGCACCGTTTGGGCTGACGTTAATTGATTGGCAGACTTCATCCAAAAAGCAGTGAATCTTACAGGTTTCTTCGCCTGGCACATACAGAGTCTTGACCACATGTCCACGCAGAGCCCTCCCCTCAATAACCGCTGAAAATTCTTTGATCACGCAACCCTCTGCAAAACAAATTATGGATTTAATATTCAATTTATCCAAAAACACTTGTAATTAAATTTTTCCTTCAGAAGAATCCATGTAATACATGGAAATATTCTATTCTCCACGTCAGTTTATTTCCAAACTCCCTCTTGTTGGTTTGGAAAAATAATAGCGGTTTCTTCTTCTTTCTCTCTCCTTATTTTTAAGAAGCAAAATTTTAGTAAAGATCTCATTTGCAAGAACCCAAATTTTATCGTAGGATATCACAACAAAACCAGTAAATTCATATTCAATTTCATTAGCTACATTGTAAATTACACGGTCATTTATCCCTGGATTAGCTGTAACCCATATTTCACGTTCTCTTTGGTTCAGGACCGCTTTCTTCATTTCTTGATGGACGCAGTCCGATGAATTGACCAATTACAAGTACTTTTTAGCTAAGAGCGACGGTTTTTTTTTCTTATTTGGATGTTGAAGATAAATTCAAACGTGTAGATGTTTTCCACGACCATTGTTCTCGCTTTTTTGAGCCATCGAAGTATTAATAATCAAAAGCAGCTTAGTGTAACGTCGTATTACCATCATAATAAAATACATGAAGAAATAATGCGCTTCTAATCGGCTGAAAACGAGTACATTTTTTACGTAACACGAGGGCAAATTATAGATAGCGCGCGCGCTGCCAAAATATCGTCACGACTTATCTTGATTCTCTGTTATGCTTTTTTCATGTAAATTATTAGTAAAAAATAAGCTGTGGCTCGTGCAATTTTTGTTGTCTTTGAAAGTTTACTCGTACTTATTAAAACCAAATTGCACTCAAAATAATGTTATTACCGATACACATAAATCTGACTTACACTTGCTTATTCATCCATCGTTTTTTATCTTCGGAAGTAACTTTTCCCCCCTTTTTGGTACGTAATTTTTTTAGGAAAAAAATGTTAATTTATTTACACTTTTCATGTAAAATTTACCATGGGTAAAGCCCCTTCACTCGAGTCAAAGTCACAGTACCATGCGGGATTTTTCCAAAATGACCAGCGTAACTGGTATTTAAACCAGCATCGGTTTCCTACCGTTGGATGTTTTAAGTAGATCCTTCACAAGGTTTCTCAGTTTTTCTGTCATTTTTCATTTGAAAAATAATTACAATTTTATTTCAGCAAGCAAAATTGATATCATTCTCACAAGATATCTGCATTCTTATCAAGTATAACGTACCTTTCCCGAGGATAAAACATGACAGTAATGCTATCGCTAACACCTCCATCGTAGAACCTCAGGTTGGTTAAGTTCGTGAAGATTCAAGTCCAACTTATTACATGACTATTTCAAAGCTTGGGATTTCGGCAGGTGCTCCAATAAAGAATTGGAGAGAGACATTCACATTGTCATTTAAATTTCAGTGACCTCTTAATTAGAAACACACATATTCCGTGCACATCTAGATCTCAGCAATTTCACTACAATTCCTAGTTATATGTAAAGAAACATAATAGCCATAGAATCAACCAGAACAAAGATGGCCTAATAATATTTGTCATTAATTCTAGAATAAAAGTTAGCGACATTATACAACGTTTCAATTTTCACAACCTTGATCATGTCGATCTTATTTAAATTTAATATCAAATAAATTCTGCTTATTTTGTAACTTTCTCGAATCTCAATCTGAATTCGTCTTTACATGGTCAGCATTTTACGTATCGTTTTTCCTGTCACGATTTATTAAATCTTCGAACAAATATTTTCATCCCAAATAACGTGAAAAGAAATTATTCAGCGAATGGCACCACCACTAGGCAAACCAGCTTATCAACAGTGTTTTCAAAATACTTTAGATACGTATCCATAGTTTAAGCAACATTCTTATTTACTCAAGAAAATTAAAAATGCATTTGAACCAATTTGGGATACCGAAAGTAATACATAATTAAGACTCCTTCTTCTTTTAGATGGTTTTAGGGAGACTAGTGCCACTTCAGTTTTGCAAAACCATGCTCATTTAGAAGATGTGGCAAATATGATGTTAAGATGCAGGGGCCAGTTGAGGGGAAATTTGACAGTATTCAGACAACTGTATCAACAATATTCTCAAGATAATTAAAAAATTCGTCTTCAATTATGGAAACCTGCGAGCGAGCTCAGTAAATATATGCAAATACTACTGAACCAAACTAAGATTTTGAAAATACTGCAAATTGAGAATCTTACTCCCTGATTGAACTTAAGGGGGTCTCGTAACATTTCACTTTCGTAAAAGAAAAATTACTTTAAGCCGAACAGAATAAGTGGACGTAAAATTTGGCAGTAGGCAGACCGCTGTATCGATAAAATTTTGAAGATAATTTAGAGACGTGTTTATAATTTTGGCAAGATGTTAGTTTACTGAAAATGGTAATGCACTGATGGCAACCTAAGTATGAGTCATAACAGGCCTCCATAATTATAGTTAAATATTTCTACATCAGCCGGATAATTTCTCTGAGTCATGCTACATTCACGTGTAAGTGAGGTTGATGTTGAAACTTTATTGTGCATCATATTCGATTATACAAGCTAGTGGCATGAGAAATTGCAGGTAGTCCGCTGTGATAAGCACGGTGTTTTTCCCGGATCTTTGGCCTCGTGTCGAGATAAAGGATCGTATTAAATTACAACTCGACGTTTAGAGGCAACAAGCGTCATCTGCAAGTTATAATCCGTGTGTTAAATATCAATGAGTGCTGTATGTTATCGGACTAAAAATTATTTCCATAACATCTATCAAAAAATGGATGGAGTTGTGTTCTCCATGAAGGCATTTATTTCTAAAAAACGACATTTCTTAAATTAGGCGCTTGATGAACTATAGCCATAAGGCGAGTCATTTCGCTTAGAAAGGTCGTTCGACATATACTTGTACTTATTGAAAGTTCTGCTTTTATACGTTATACTCCTTCTACGATGTTCGTTCATTTTCTCACAAAGTTACTTTTCCATAACAAAGGAAAGGGACACCATTATTTTTTCATAATACGGAGTCGAAGCTTCATCTCCGTGCGTTTAAGTGAGTAGTAAAGCCCTTTGAATTGTGTCCAGCAAACTCCATCGGCGAATGAGTCAGATGGACCACCATAGTAGATACCGTTGAGATTCGAATCGTGGCAATTATTGTACCACCAGGCACCGTTGAACTTCGAAGCAAAGTGCGTATCTGAACTTTTGTCGTTCTTACTATTTTTGGTCGAAAACTGCATCCTAGTAGAAACATGAGCGAGAGTGAGAAAAAGATCATAGATATTAACCGTATGAGTCCCCCTTTGTCATAAAATAAACGGTACTATTCCGAGCAGCACTACCCCCTCCATGTAATCATCGTCGGGTTATTTGAAAAAAGTTTCATGAGCCTCGGGTTAGTTCACATGAGAGTATAAATTAAAAAATATCAAGAAGGTTTGGCTGTAATTGAGAAGAGAAGGAGAATCGTCCTAAACTAAAAGCCTCTTAGAAGTCAACTTTTCTCTTTTGTCACTTCGCGTTTTTTCTCACCTCAGAACTTAAAGAGGTTTCAGAATCAGAATATTACTTCGCCTAGAATAGTTATTGCTGACCGATTGATTTCCTTCTTTTTTGATAACAAATTGTTGCGTTAACTGTTATGATAAAAAAATGTCTGGATAACAGCAGATATGTCACGAATTGAAGGAAATATACGACATTTTTTAAAACCATGTTTTGACAGTTCTACTGTCATCTTCAGTACAAAGTTGAATGTAAAGTGTAAAACGAAATGCTCATTGGACAAAACAAACAATAGAACAGAACATTGAAAGCAGTTAAAAGAAAGTTTATCAACTTTTTCATATTCATTTGAAACTTTCCTTGTAACAGTACACAGTAACTGTTTGTTTCTATTGTTTCTATTGTTTGTTTTTGACTTTTTATAATCAGAACTGAAGATGAGAGGGGAACTGTCGAAACATGTCTTTAAAAAATGTCGTATATTTTCTTCAATTTATGATAGAAAATCGATAGGTGCCTCTTGCCTTTGCCGCCGAAAATTTGTTGATCGAAATACATCACGATCTCACCTAATGATGCGTAGCCGTAAGAGAAGTTTAAAGAATTGACTCGCTCAGCTCATATCACTTTGAGCCTCGTTCAGATTTCATTTATCTTAGAGATTGGTGCCCAACCATAGAGTCACCAGCCGTGCCAGAGTATCCTTCAATCAAAAGCCTGTACTTATCAGCCTCGTCTGCCACCTTAAAAGTAGTGTACTCAGCGTAGGTGATGTTCCCTTCAAAGTCTTCCTGGTCAAATCTCAGCATTACGTCATCAGAGTCTGTCAAATGATGAAGATTATCGTTTCCAAGCCAGAACTCGCCATTAGGATTTCTAAAGCCGTATTTGTAAGATTCCCACCCTAGAAAAAAATATACAGATCCGTCCAAACGTCTCTGAAAACGGTCCAACCTCCACCATCCGCGACTCGTGAACATAACTTGTTATAGTTGCTCTAACATTATCGTTAGATCTTAGTTTCTTTCGAATGCTTAAAAAGTATGTTCGAGACTTGTGTCTTTCGCCTCCTTCCAGTGGCGGCTTCACTAGCTACCACGATACGCCTGAAATTCAGTAGGGAGTCGGGGAGAGTTATCCTTTGTCAGGAAGCCATGGCTTCAAGCCATGGCTTCTAAGCCATCTAAGTAATTTGTCGGAGTGTGCTTGTGTTACTGCTTAAAAATATTCCGTAATCGTCTTTTTCTGCTTGAATTCCTAAATTGTTAAGGCCAAACCATGCATATGACAACTCCAACACTAACCGCAAGTTGGTCCTCTATAGCCATCTTTACATTTGCATCTTACGCTGCCGTCTTGATAGTTGGGAAACCGATTCCTTTTTGCCACAGATGGAATCGCTTATCTTAGAAGAGCTCTATATTTTGAGAGATGCTAACTTGATGCAAAATGCTAACAGATATAAATTCTCAAATCCAAATAAGATAAAATTTGCAAAGGCAGTTCTGAAAATTGAATTGCTAGATTTTTTCGCAGAAGGCGTGAATTTTTTTCCTTAGGTATTTGATCTTTAGATGTTGATGTCCTTTAAAGAAAGCTGAGTGGTAAACTACTGAAATTGGTAAAGAATATTTTAAATCAAAGGATATTTTTTATGAAGAAAAAATAAATGCTGCCTGAAGAATGTCTTTTTCTTTTTCTTTTTTTTTTCGTCTTCTTCCACGTTGTACCCATTACACAATACCTGTATTCCCCTGTAGGAAAATTCGTCATCTTGAGTGAAATTGTCCACAGCAGCAAATCGATCAGAGTCGCTTTTATAGTTGACATTTGAGTCTTTTCCCGTCTTCTGCCGGTCCAAAGTTGTAAGACAGGCAACGGCTTTCATCCACACATTGTAGCTGGCAAGCACCTTCTGATTCCTCTTCTGTTTCCTCGATTACCCTCCCAAGAAGCTTACGTCCTCTCATCTCTGTCGCAAAGTTTACGGCATGTAAATCATCTGTTTATTCGACCAAGTCCTGATACCAACGTTACGGACAAAGCGATTGAGGACCAGAACAAGAACATGTTATGTGTTCATTGAGTTGAATGTTGACACAAAGTTTGACTTATGCACTGCTAATCTCTCCCTCCAATTCCTGGTCGACTCACATGATTTATTCATTGTTATGGTTTCAATAACAGCAGGTTCAACATTCATGTATCTGAAAAACACTTACTATTCATTTCTAATCAACTCACAACGATGTTCAAAGATTTCTTAAAAGTTTAACGTGTGGCCTGCTTTGTGTACTTTGCCTGTTTCGTTTTTTTTATCCTTCTGATGGTTAAGAATAAATAGGGTTAGGCGTTTAGAATAGTTATGTCAATAGATAGGGTGAATCAAACTTTTCACTTAACATTTCGTTACAGCAAATTTACTCGGTCATCAAATGTCGCTTAAATATGGGAAAGACAGAGCTGAAGAACACTCTTTCACGTCCTACTTTCCTTGCACCGTCTCTTATTTCGAGATTCTGGGATAATTTCATGCAACTATATGAATGTTTTGCTCTTGGGAAAAATGATAAAGTTTCTCCCCATGCCTGCTGCTCAGAAATTTTTCCACGGCGAAGCAGTGCAGAGACAAGAACCATTTCATTGAAACCACTCAAAGACAAATCACAATCTGGATAATTTAGCGAAAAAAAAAAACATTAAGAGCGGTATAAAGTTTCACAGAAGGATTCAGCCGATTTCTGGTTCATTTACTTAGAAATTTGTCGCTTCTATCACGTTTTTAAGTTATCGAAATACTTATTTAGGTTAAATACTAAAATTTTACAATAAAGACTGAGTCATATTCTAGCCTGATTTGCATCATTTAAACTTTGTACGTCGTTCAATTGTACAAAGGAGGATGCTTATGCTCGTCATTATAATCAAGAGCACGAATTCGTCATTACTCCGTTCACTGCTTCCTATACCAAGACGTTAAAAAGCGTTTGACCGTGAATCAGCACAGAGACGAGGACCAGTTATGCGCAGGAGAAAAAGATGCTTTTTCAGGCTTTATTTTCACTACTGCATATGTAGTGTTCCTTACTGCGAAAAGAACTCTCATATTCATCCATACCATCCATAAGCTTGCGTGAAAACCAACATATACATGATTTCAAAACAAAACTATGCTCTTTGTTTTCCTAAGAAGGCACCAGTTGTATTGTCTTAGTTGAGAAATGCGCCATAAATTTTTTTTAATTCAGGTCAGGTATTTTCTATTTAAAGAATACAGCTTGACCAGAGGATCAACTATCTGCAAAACGTACAGGAGTGTCCAGTCAATTTTTTGCAATTTTTGGCAGATGAATTCCTACTACTTTTGATAATAATCTCCCTGATCGTTTAAAACTATTCAAGGGAAGGCTTCTTTCATTATGTTATTCTCAGAGCTCGTTATCTAGATCTATATCTGTTGCATTTGTCACGTAGTGTCCTGCATTGAAAACATAGAAACAACCTCTCCCAAAATAACGCGGGCCAGAGAGCCACATTTCCTTTTACTTACGTGTTACTCTTATCCTTAATGCACTAAATCCACATAAGTCTTTTTATTTCAAAACTGATGATAACCGTTAAAAATCCCATAACCACGCAACCCTCTACAAGAAAAAAAGGAGTTAAATATTCAATTCATCCAACAATACTTGTAATTTTTTTTT